TACTCTCTGAACAACATAAAGACCCAGATATCATTCAACTTAGTAAGAGGGCACTTCCACCAGAAGAGGCTACTAAATTTGGAGAACGCTTCTATATGAAAGATGGCATCCTTATGCGAAAATGGCGACCACCTGACGCTTCCCCAGATGAAGTGTGGCGTGTTGTTCACCAAATAGTGGTACCAGCTGCTTATCGTCAAGATGTAGTGAGTTTAGCTCATGATACACCCATGGCAGGTCATTTAGGTGTCAATAAGACTTATAATAGGATTTTGAGTCATTTTTATTGGCCTAAGCTAAGAAAGGATGTTTCGAAGTTTTGTAAGTCATGCCATGTCTGTCAGATGGTACAGTGGCTGGAACGTTATTGTTGACAAACCAATCGTGTAGAATCGTTCGTTCATCGTGCGTGATCGTTCTTTTAACGTGCGAGATCGTGCGTGTAACAGACTCAATCGTTTGCGGTTTTAATCGTGCGAGAACGTGCGTTTAGAAACGTGTAAATTTCGTTTTGTAAGTTTTTATCGGAATGTTATCTGTGAAACAAGTATTTCGTTTATATTTTATTTTTTAATCCAAATAAAAAAAAAATAAAGCGCAGTTTACATAATTGAATGCGGAACGAGCTAACTATTACTTGTAAACAAGCAATATAGTAAGTCGTACACCATTATGTTCTCGTCAAATAGCGTGACTTATTGTGATATACCGTACTAAGATGTTTTACTATATTTTTTCTGAAGATCATTCTTGTTTGTTGCTAATTGTGGTAAGATATTTTTTATTTATTTTTCAAATAATCAAAAAATAATAATAATAATAATAATAATTTTACAGATAAATAAACATTTTTCAAAGCTAACATAAATGTTTAGTCGGCGAATGTACATGCACGTCACGCACATAATTTTCGGGGTTTTGTTTTACTGTATTTAGCTCTGTAGCTTACTTTCAATTAATTTTTAAAGTAAAACAATAATTTGCAATGTCGTTTTTCATGTTTTAGAGATTCATAAACATTTTGAAGTAATGAAAACATATTGATATAACTTTTAAGTTAAGTCATTCCATGCTGCCATTTTATCCCCAATCGTATCCTCCATTCTACATAATTATTATGAAATCCAATTCAATCAAATTTTACGGTCCACCTACTACTATCTTCTGATAGAACAAAAAATCCGTTTTCTTATGTCGGACAATTATCTAAATTATTATTTATTATCTAAAATAATAAAAAAAAAATCTTACATGTATTTAGTACCAGAAATACCCATTTCTGTTTTTTTCTTTTTATCAAAGTCGATGATATAATATATTAATTGATAATTCTTTGAATCTAAAATCAATATAAAGCCGTATTTCGTTTTTGATATATCGATTCCTAAATAATTTGAACTATTTTGCGTGAAGAATCGTGCGTTTGCGTTAGCAATCGTGTAAGATCGTGTAACGTGTAGAATCGTGAACGTGAAAGATCGTTCGTGTATCAGGTTTAATCGTGCGTTAATCGTGCGGAATCGTGCGTGTAACGTGATCGTTCGTGTAAGTTGTCAACAATAACGTTCCAGCCACTGTAGGTAAACCAAATCAGAAGATACCATCTGCTCCTCTCCAACCCATTCCAGCTTTTGAAGAACCGTTTAGTCGAGTGTTGGTGGATTGTGTAGGACCTTTGCCTAGGACCAGATCTGGAAACCAGTATTTACTTACCATTATGTGTACATCCACTCGATTTCCTGAAGCCGTACCTCTTAGGAATATAAAGGCAAAGAGCATAGTCAAGGCCCTAACCAAGTTTTTCAGTTTTGTAGGAGCACCCTAGGCAATGCAGTCGGATCAAGGCTCAAATTTTATGTCGGGGTTGTTCCAGCAAGTCATGCATGAGTTGGGTATTAGGCAGTATAGATCAACTGCTTATCATCCTGAGTCCCAGGGGGCGCTAGAACGTTTTCACCAGACCTTAAAAACGATGCTCAAGACCTATTGTTACCAGTATGAAAAAGACTGGGACGAAGGGGTTCATCTTGTACTATTTGCTGCAAGAGAAGCAGTCCAGGAGTCTCTTGGGTTTAGTCCATTTGAATTGGTGTTCGGTCATACAGTTAGAGGTCCTTTGAAATTGTTGAAGGAAAAGTGGCTGACTGAGACTAGTGATCTTAATCTTTTAGATTATGTGTCTGATTTCAAAGAAAAACTTTACAATGCTTGTAAATTAGCACAAGAAAATTTGAAGAGTTCTCAGATGAAAATGAAAATGTGGTATGACAAAGATGCCAGAAATAGGGTGTTTAAGCCAGGTGATAAGGTTCTTGTATTTTTACCTATTCCTGGTCATCCTTTACAGGCCAAATTTTATGGCCCTTATGAAATTGAAAGCAAGATTAGTGATGTAAACTATGTAGCTAAGACACCAGGTCGACGTAAAGAGAAACAGGTTTGTCACATTAACATGTTAAAAGAGTATTTTGAAAGGTGTGACCGAAATTCTGTAAAACCAGTTTCCACTTTAGCCAATGCTAAGACTGTTCAAAATTGTATTGAAAGTGATACAAGTGTAGAAATGAATGAGAAAGATTGTAATCATAGTGTTCGTTTGAAAAACTCGGAAGTTTTGGCTGATTTGGATGCTAAACTTGGACATTTGAACATTCACCAAAAAGAACAAGTAAGAAACTTGACGAATGAGTATCATCAAATCTTTTCGGATGTTCCAAAGAAAACTAATGCAGCTTGTCATGATGTCATAGTGAGTGACGTTCTGCCTATCAAACAACATCCGTACCGTCTGAATCCAATAAAATTGCAGTACCTAAGAAGGGAAGTGCAGTACATGTTGGACAATGACATTGTTGAACCTAGTAAAAGTGATTGGAGCTCACCGTGTATTCTTGTACCAAAACAGGACGGTTCGTACCGATTATGTACAGACTTTAGAAAGGTGAATTCTGTTACCAAAACTGATTCATATCCAATACCTAGAATCGATGACTGTATTGACAACATTTGAAACGCGAAATTTGTCAGTAAATTTGACCTGTTGAAAGGCTACTGGCAAGTACCGTTAACAGAAAGAGCAAAAGAAATATCTGCTTTTGCTACACCAGATGGACTTTACCAGTATAAAGTAATGCCTTTTGGCATGAAAAACGCACCAGCTACATTCCAAAGGATGATTCACTCCCTTCTCCATGATCTTGAGGGATGCGAGGCCTACATTGATGATGTCGTCATATATAGCAACACATTGGATGAACATCTCCGAATCATGCGTGCTTTATTTGACATTTTAGCTAAAGCAAATTTAACTGTGAACCTTGAAAAGAGTGAATTTTGTCAAGCTTATGTAGAGTATTTAGGTAATAAAGTAGGTCAAGGTTATGTTACACCCATTATGGCTAAAGTGGAAGCTATTGTAAAATTCCCGATTCCTACAAACAAAAAAGAATTAATGAGGTTTTTGGGCATGGTTGGGTTTTACAGAAAATTTTGTCCAAATTTTTCCTCAGTTGTTAGTCCACTTACAAATCTTTTACAAAAGAGGGTAAACTTTGAATGGACAAAGGACTGTGAAAAATCGTTTCATAAAATCAAATCTGTCCTTATGAGCAATCCAATTCTGTCAACTCCAGATTTTTCTAAGCAGTTGAAGCTTACTGTTGATGCTAGTGATGTTGGAATCGGGGCAGCTTTGTTTCAAGAACATAGTGATAAGGTAGATAGAGTTGTTTCTTAATTTTCAAAGAAACTTACAAAATGTCAACGAAATTATTCTACTATTGAGAAAGAATGCCTTGCTTTGTTGTTAGCTTTACAGCATTTTGATGTTTATTTGAATGTTACTTTGCATCCAATTCTTGTGTATACTGATCCCAACCCCCTGACATTTTTGCATAAATTGTCAAACAAGAATCAAAGACTGACTAGATGGAGTTTGTTGTTACAAGAATACAACATAACAATTAAGCATATCAAAGGCAAAGATAATGTTATTGCAGATGCATTGTCCAGAGTATCATGAACAAATTAGATTTTTTATTAATGTACATGTTTTACAATATAAGTTTTCATTGACATTCAAACTTTTTAAGGGGGGAGGTGTTGTGAGATGTGTATTGTTTCATTATGTATATAATTAGTAACATTAAGTTTCTTGAACATTCCAGAGTGGTCAACATGTTTGGTCATTTGATCTAGAATATTCTTAAATTTTGTGTATGTCCAGATTGTTCCAGTAATGTCATGATTTAATAATTTCTAGAATATTCTAGATTTATAATACTGTATAAATACCCTGTCAATTCGATGCATAGATACAATACTTTTGTCGTATGAGCATCATTGAGATACAACTGGGATATATTTTCACTGGGACATTGTGTGCAGCAACGGACACTCTGATGTATGTATTTTTAGATTCTTGCTAAGTTTGTACTTTATGTTTGATATATTTATTATATATTACTGTAAATAAATTATTGTTAAGTTTAAATTGTGTTATTGATCTTTGCTGGCATTTCGGGTAATTCTGACCCATAACAGAATATCAAATATCTTCAGTCTTAACTGGCTAAATATTAACAAACTTTGTAAGTTGATGCATTTTGGGTTTTATGATACTAATAGAGTTGGGTGCTTCTAATAGAAGTGATAGATTGTACAATTTATCAGAAGAGCTATTCAAGGCCCTTGGGCCTCTTGTTTTTTTTTTTTCATGAATAATAAAGTTTAACTATTTTTCCGCTACAAAAACTATTATTTTTATTTGTAGACCTTAGATGGCGAATTTTTTTTTTTTTTACAAAAATTGTTTGATTCCTTACCTTGTTCTTAGTCCCTGAGGTAAATCATATGATCAAAAAATTCAAAATAAAAAATAATCAGATAATATTTTGGAAATTATTCAGGAAGATAAGATATAAATAACAGAGTAACATTTTTTTCTGAAATCTCTACATAAAATGAATTGACTATTCAAGAACATTCTATTTTTGTTACAGATCCAAGCATTGAGGATATAAATACAATTGATGAGTTGAAGAAGTTTCTGAGGAAGGAGAAGACAAGTGTTTCCCACGCCAGAGGAATACTTGTTGGATGTGCCGAGGCTGGAAAAACAACGCTACTGAAGAAGTTAAGAGGGCAACATCACAATATCAGCCAAGATACTGAGTCCACCAGGGGGCTAACAACATTGCTGAAGAGATTAAGATGGAAACGCCAAGATGTCAGTGAAGTTACCGAGTCCACCAGGGGACTGGAAGTCCATCAACATGTCTTCATTGTTAGAGATGGCGTTTTAGAAGGTAGAAAAAATTCTGAGACATATTCAAAAAAAAAACCAAATGAAAGAGCTAGAAATATCACTTGAAGTTTATTATTAAATCCAGTCTTAAAGAAATTATTCAAGATATTTTCATCAAACTTCATTCACTAATACAAATGTTTATGTCACCTTACTAATGAAGCCAGGCCAAGGCATTCTTGATTGATGGTCATATTTCTAGTTCTTATAATTTTTAATCTAGAGCAGCCAACCAGAGAGCTGTGCGTTATCCAGTCATCATCACATATAGAAGATTTTAAGTAATATGAACAAAATATAGAAATATAAGATAACATACAAGTGGTAGAATGTTTGTTGTCAATGAGGAAAAAAAAGATAAATAATTATGAAAAAAGAGATAAACAAGCAAATTCAAAGAGTTGTGGTCCCCAGTCTTTGTGGGTGAGATGTCAATTTTTATGACATTTTGTATTATTGTGTCAAATATGAACGCACTATCACATGTCATTTAGAAATTATCACCGAATATGAATTCTTTCTAAAATAAAGTCAATCATCATGGTTAAGGGGTCAGAAATCATAGCATGCACAGAAATGCTCACAAGTATTGTAATGCACCGGTCAAATATAAAAGCTCAATCTTTTTTTCAATCAAAAGTTAAAAGGAAAAGTTTACAATAAAAAAGTAGGCCGAATTGAAGTCCAAGATCACAAGATTAAAAATCTTAGTGTATGAAGAAAGTTATTGTCACAGGCAATACACAGGTATAATTTAAAAAGCCCTGATGAGCAAGATTAAAGTTTTTGAAAAGAAGGTCAAACTTAGAGGCCAAGGTAACGAGGTCAAAAGTCTTGTTACATTTAATACACATTTTATATGAACGTCCTATCTCTTCTCAGTCAAAAGAAACTGCCAATTAAAAAAAAGTGTTTAATTCTTCTAAAGTAGGTCAAACTTGATTGTCAAGATTGCGGATATCAAAAAATCAAAGTATTTAGAAATTATCATGTCACAGGTATTATACATGTGTAATATGAAAGTCCTTTCTCTACTCATTCATAGTATATGACTAATATAAAGTTGTTTGTAATTTGTAAAGCATAATTAACCTCCAAGGTCAAGGTCAATACGTTAAAAATTACAGTTCACTAGGAAATGTCTTGTCAAATGTAATACTAGTACATATCTCTAATATGAAAGCCCTATCATTCTCTCATTCAAAAGTTATGGCCAGTAAAAGTAGTGTTTATTAACTTTAATATTTTTAAAGATAAGTCAAACTTCAAGGTCACAAGGTCAAAAGTCATCGTGTATTTAGATAGGTCTTGTCACAGGTAGTATGTGTAATGTTAAAGTTATATCTCTTCTCATTTAAAAGATATAACCAAGGTTACAGTTTTTGTGACGGGCGGACAGACGGACGGACAAATTAGATTTATTGTCCCATCACTTTAGCGAAAGCAAGGGACCATTATTTTTCTATGATGTGTTAAAATGAAAACATTTCTAAATAACATTCCTCTGTTTTCAGTGGCTGATGATGACTCACCATTCAAGTCATTTATTAGGATAAATGCTGCAGATTTGAAACCAGATCCGAGCAGTAGTGCTGTTGCCAGCTCTGATACAAATGAAAAAGAAAATTTTGAAGTAGGAAGTACTGATAAAAGCACTGAAGTAGTTTATAGCCGCGAGGAAAAGAAAGAAGAGAATGTGGAAATGATTAGTTCACCAATGGAGGACACAGAAGAAGAGGACACAGTAGAGGTAATGGCCAGTCTTATCTCCTCAGAAGCTACAGATATGGTGAAATTTGAAATTTTCCAGAAAATCTTGTCTGAAAAAGAGAAGTTACCAACAGTAAGCATGCTGGATTTTGCTGGGCAGTTGGCGTATTATGCCTGTCACCAAATTTATGTAACACCAAAGGCCTTCTTCATCCTTGTGTTGGACATGACTAAGAAGTTTGAGGATGTTGTCAGTAAAGAGAAAGATAACCAGGAAGGATCAATCTTCTCCGTGTGGACTTACAAAGGTAAGACACTTGTAAAATGCTACATTTTTAGCTCTTTCTGAGTTCGGTGTGCGGCATGCGTTGTGCAGTGTGCATAAACTTGTTAGATTGCTGGCCATTACTCAATATCCCCTTGGTCAATAATTGTCCAAGTTGTCACAAGGTATCCTTGGCCTAATGGCTCCCATCTGTAAAAAAAAAAAAAATACTGAGTAGTGACCCTTAGGCAAGGGGATATAATTAGAAAAAAATGAAACAAAAATGCTGGTTGCTAAAAAATCTCTTCTCAAGAACCAATGTTGTAGATAAAAATTTGCACGTCGTGGAATTACCCTCAGGCAAACAGCATGGTCTCAAGGTCTCTTCAAAGTTGTCCAGAAATTACTTAAATTTTAATAAAATGTTGATATTTTGCTTACATTAAGGACTTTTTGTCAGTTGATGCATCTAAGGCCCTCATTACGTTGACTTAAAAATAGGTCAAGATTACTTTATAAATATTGAGCTCATTCTTTTTCAAAATGATTTAGAGGCATATTTTGAACAATTTCAGGCCTATGCTCATTAAACTTTCTTAGTTGATGCATCAGAGGCAGGTTTGTGGATTACCACTTGCCCACTCGAAAAAGCAGGTAAAATTTGCTGTGGGCGATTAGATATATAAAAAAAACTTGCGTCGAAGATGAATTCTGTTTATAACTTTCAATATATTAAAAATGGTTTTCATCTTTTTAAGAGGAATGAAGTAAAGTAATTTTAATATTGGCAATTTTTAACAGAAATCATTAATTTTACAAATTTTTTTTCAATCATCTGAAGTTTTTGGTCTTAGTCGTAAGTTTTTTTGTAAAAGGGACCACTGGTTGCCCAAATGGAGAATGATTTTTCCCCGGAATACAATCAAATTTCAGTTTTATTTTTGATGTACTTTCAGTTTCAGAACGAATACTCTACTAACCTAGATTATATATGTTGCGTACAAGCATATTCTTCAAACATATAATGTGACTTAGATCAAACATGGCGATTTATCGTTGCGGCTATAAGGAAAAGACCACTAGTTATTTTCCCATAGAACTCTATAAAAACCTTAGGCCCTCTCGGAACTTAACTATGGCAATTTCAGAAAATCCTTAGCATCATTAAAAACTTCCTTCTGGGCCCTTACAAAAAAAAATGAAAAACAAATATATGGTCCCATGGCGTTTATAGGTCAAAATTGCAGTTATTTTCGACTTATAGCGATCAGCAGTAAATAACACGCTGCATCAAAAATCATTAATTACTACAGTAATATATAAAGTTTATACTGTATATAAAATGTATTTAATAATACATGTATGTGTTCATGTGGTAGTGTTAGATACAGGTGCATTGCTTCCTACCATCTTGGGCTAGTAGGTTAACCTTTAACTCAATGGAAAAGCACAGAGGCCCTGGGTTCAATCCCAAGAAGAGGCATATACATGCTAATGTCTCTGTTTAATACAATGATTAGGGCCCTGCAAGGATTTGCGGGTGCCCTATAGTAATCACTCTGTCCGTCTGTCTGTCTGTCTGTCATTTTTCCGTCCTAATAACTTTTTTATGGTTGCCCAATTAAGATCAAATTTGGTATGGTAGTTCAATAGGCAGAAATACATATTTTGATGCTTACTTTTTTTCTCTATGTCCCCTGTTTTGGAGCTGGGGTGCTGGGATAGATTCCTTAACTTTAAATAAGAATGCATTGGCAAATTGAGATAACTGCTGAAGATGTTCCCATTGTAAACTGAATGCTGCTATGAGTCCCTTGGGATTAATTAGCTTTCCTCCAGAAGAAAATCAAAAGCCTTATCTTTATCTGTCACATTGAGATGAATTACCACCTCTGTCTGCAACTGAAGTTTGTTTTGAAGTTAAGTCAATTTGGAATGCTATGAACACTCTGAAATGTGCATGGATTTAAATACAAATGTTTATACTTCAATATTTTTGTTAAAATAGTTATGATTTCTTTGAATTCTAAGAACAAGAAATAGATTAAAGAGGATATATATTTCTACATTTAATTTTTTTTCTCCTTTATGTTAATTCAAGAATATTATTAATTTTTAAGGTATTTGTATAAAAACCCCATTCTATCATTAATTCTGAAAAAGTTCTTTTTGAAACTTAAGAAGACAATTATGAGAGAGGTACATATAATCCTTTGGGATTAATTATCTAGCAGAAAATTTAGTAGGCTTTTCTTTATCTGTCACTTTAAGATTAATGAAAACCTTTGTCTGCAACTGCTGTTTGTGTTGAAGTTAAGGTCAAGCCTTCATGATATTTGCATTCATTGAAGGCTGGCATTCAGTGTTAAGCTGTTCATTACTGCATAATGTAAATACAAGGATATTATTTACAGGTTTTTGAATAATCAGGAATTATCTTGAAATTTTAAGAATACAGTTGCTGTTGTGTATTCTTTGTACATTTTTTAATCATTCCGTAAGCTGCACCCTTATATTTCTACCCCATGGCGGGGCCCTTGCTGACTGGTCAGTTTTCTGGTTTGTGGCAGGTATTGGTTCGTTTCAGTGGATTTGACACATGAATTGGTGGTCAGTAGCCGGGAATAATGAATTTGTTAAATCTGTTTACAGAGGGTGTTACCATTGAAACTGACTTAACTCTCCCTATACACTGCTTACCTACCAAAGTACACTACATCATGATCTTTGATGATATATCTTTCCTAGAAATCAATTTCTTTTCCCTTGCTATAAGTACTAACCAGTAAAGCTACAGTCTCATTAGAGAATTCTATTTTTATTATCATGCTTTATTTGTTCCTTTAGACTTACATACATTTGTTTCTTTTAGACTACTTGAAGTTTTGGATTGCCTCAATCAAGACATTTGGAGGCAAAAAGGCCCCACTGTTTCTTGTTGTCACACACACAGAGAAAAAATCTAAAGATGTAAGTATTCTGGCTTATAGAAATGTGAATTATAAAGGAATAAACAGATCTCCAACCTATCATGAGAATGCACAATTAAAGCCATACTTTAAAAATACAAACACAAGAAAAATTTTGGCCTATAAGGTTATAAGATTTGTTACAGTCTTTACAAAATGAATTGGTTTCCATTTATGTCGATGACTATGGGCAAAATAGGCATAATAATTCATTTCTTTTACTGTAGACATATTTTTTTTCCACAGGGTCATTATTCCGCGGAATCTCAATTTCTGTTTAATCCGCGAGTAGAAAAGTATGCGGATTTCTTAGACTGTGACTAAATGCCTTACATTTATATTAAGTACACTTGGACAAATTTCCACAGAAAATTTGTAACCGCGTACAAAGTGTTTATGAATACCACGCGAAAAATGTACTTCTACAGTATATTGATGGCTTACCTGAGCTGAAAACTGAAGTGAGCTTTAAGGATCACCCGTTGTCCTGAGACGTTCCATTCGATCTGTTGTTTTTTCTTTTTATAAAATTTCTTATTTTTACTTTTTAAGAACCACTACGCCAAAATTTACGAAGTTTGCACATAGCATCTTTTGCTTTAGGAAATTTTAAATTTTCAAAGCCCCAGTTTTAATTCTGTGAGCTCAATTTGACCATGTTTTTTTCTTGAACAAGTATTGAAATTTAACTTTATTTTGTTTTTATACGAAATCATAGTTTTGTATTAAACAGAAAACTGAAGTTTTCTTCAATAGGGAATCCAAGTTTTACATAGAAATGTATAGTAACAATCTTTAAAAATCTTCTTCTCAACAACCAGTGGGCCAGAAAAGCTGAAACTTATATGGAAGTATCCTGAGGTACTGTAGATTCTAAATTGTTAAACTCATGACCCCGGGGGGTAGAATTGGGCCTGAAGAGGGAATCCAGGTTTTATATAGAAATATATCGGAAAAAATCTTCTCAAGAATCAGTGGGCTAGGAAAGCTGAAACCTATGTGGCTATGTCGAAACATCCCTGGGGTAGTGTAGATTCTAAATTATCAAAATCAAGATGGGGGTGGGGGGTAGGGACCACAGAAGATGTAAGAAAAGGGAAGTTTTGTAAAGAACTGTATCACCAACGTTACTCAGGTGAGCGATGTGGCCCATGGGCCTCTTGTTTCTTCACAATATTAAAAATTTAAGTTCTGACGTACCCAATGTATTATGTTGACTTCATGTGATTGAAATAAATTTATATTCAAAGAGAAGTTTTACATAACAAACCTGTTAGCTTTTAAAAGGATGCTGTGTGAAAATCCACATTTTATCAACATTGATATTATTCATGTGAAACTGAAATTTTCATAACACATGGGTAAAGGTGCCAAGGAAAAATATTTACAAATTTGAAGATGAAGTAGAGGTAACGTGAGCAATGAATTATATAAATGATCAACTGCCTCTAATATGAATAAAATGGCAGTGTCCATGTTAAATGCAATGGAAAACCCAAAATATGTGTAGGACGAAAAAGTAATAGAAGGTGCACAACGGCAAAATCTAATAAAGATTCTATGAAAATTTCATTCAGTGGTGGAACAGGAGTTGCGGATAAGGGATGGGTATTCCTAAAGCGTAACAAACAGATGGACGGACATCCCGATTAATAAATACCCTCCCGCTTTTCAAGCAGGGGGTATAAAAAAGGACTAATGTAGGCAGGCAAGCATTACGACCCATGTCTTTTTTTGCTATCAATGTCTGTGAATGTCTTTCTCAAGAGTGTTGCAACACAAAAAATCTGAAACAGTTGTCTGTATTTGAAATAATAATATTGTTCCCTCACTTAAACTCCCGATCAAAGATTTTATTTTACACCATGTTCAATTCCCATGAGTAATTTCAGTACTTTGATTTGAACTTGGCCCCTCTTCGGAAGGATGGGATCACAGAAGGGGGTCAAAGTTTTGCATAGAAATGAGATAAGCGTTGTGGCCCAAGATCCTCTTGTATTAATTCTTGTTGTTGCAAGCATGTCATATGGAAGAACTTTTCATTGATGACAACAATGATCCACACAACCAGGCTTGCTTAGGATGTTGAATCTGACCTATATTTTCCAGATGAGTGATCAGGTTTAAGTGTTTGGAGCAGGTCCATTCTCAAGTTACTATAAGCCCTGCCTATGCCAGACATGCATAGATGATGTATTTAGGAATGGACACTATCAGTTGCTTCAGATGCTGGATTTCACTTGCATTTTCCAGAAGAGTGACCAGGTTTTAAGTTTTTGGAGCAGGTCCATTATTCCCAAGGAACAATTATCCCTACAAGGACCAAACTTGCATGGATGATGCATCAATGAATGGGTACTACAAGACGTGCTCCAGATGCTGAATTTGACCTACATTTACCAAATGAGCAAGCCAAAGGTTTTGGTGCAGGTCGATTTCCAAGTAATTATAAGCCCTACCCAGACTGAACTTGCATAGATGATGCATCTAGGGATTGACACCACCAAACCTGTTTACGATGCTGGATCTGACCTACAATTTTATACACCCGTCTTAAGACGGGACGTTTATGTTATAGGCTTCGTGTCCGTCCGTCTGTCAGTCTGTCTGTTAGCTTTTTCATTTCCGGCTCATAACTTTAATACTACTAGGCCTAGGATTATCAACTTAGTCATCTGATGCATCTTGGGTAGAAGGTGTGTCGCGCACAAAAAGGAGGTCGCTCTGACCTTTAATTAAGAAGTTATAGCCAAATATGGAAAAATCCTTTCCGGCCCATAACTAGAAAACCATAAGACCTACAATCATCAAACTTGGCCAGTTTATGCATCTTAGATAGAAGATGTGTCGCTACCTATTTCAAGTTCGCTGTGACCTTTAATTTAAGTGAATTTTGTTTTAAAAATGTGTCTTTTTACTATTCATTTACACATCCCAAATAATGTAAGAGTATTGCACTATTCTTATTAAAAAAGTGTTAAATCAAGAAAATACTATTTTTTAAGCATATACTTGACAGCAATCTAAAACAAATATTATGTATGTCAGAGAAATCCTGCCTCTCCCATGGGTGTGATTATCAAGCACTGGTCAAGAAGAATTTTGATAACAGAAAATTGCATGTCAAATTAGAGAGAAATTAATGGGTTTTGAGTGCGAGGAGCTAACTGCCAGAGCATTGGTGTTATCTATATCCCTTGAGTATTGGGCAAATGGGTAAGCCTGTTTGATTAAAAATAGCCTTTGTTGACTAGCTTAAGTTTTAAAATAAATTTGATGATAAGTAATTAAAACTAATTTGATATTGCATAATAGACTAATCTGATATTATGTAATGTTATCTATTTAAAAACTAATTTTATGGGGTGGGGTGGAATCAGCATGTCCATATGAATTATATATTAAAACCTGTCGGACATTAAATCTCGACCAAAAAAAAATCTTTGAGTATTTTATATGTTTTTTAAAAAAAATTATAGTAGATAGTGCAGACCCATCCATCTCTTGGTAGTAATGAGCAGACAAGCATCCAGTTAAAGACTAATTAATGAGCTCAATGTGGGAAGGCTAGCTGTCTCAGTCGCTCTGATTAAGCAGTTTATCTGTACCCTTTGGGGATTAGACAGAAGAACTGCTGGTCAGTTTATAACATATGTCATTTTATGGCCGGCCTTTTCTTTTCAAAATTAATTTGGTATATATTAAGATGTTATAATTAGGACTAATTTGATGATGGGCATTTGACAAGGTCTAATATAACCAGCACAGAAATCTATCAGTGATGTAATATTTATTATAATTGATGCCTACATCAAAGGGGATGGATAAATATTTTAAGGAATAGAAAAGTCATAGAATTCTTAGAATCAAGGTTGATGTGTTTTCTTGCACCTAAACTGTTCAAGAAAATTGTAATTTTTTGACGGGCGTATCATGCTGTGGCGCGGCACTTTATTTGATGAGTGATCAAATTCAAGTTTTTTGCGCAGGTCTTTTCCCAAGACTTTATGCCCTACCCGGATAAAACTTACATGGATGAAGCATCTAGGGATGGCCACTACCAGACTTACATTCGATGACCCCGGAGGGCTGGACGGGGCCATAATTTTAAATAAATTGAGATTTATATAGAAAAAAAACTTTTAAAATCTTCTTCTCATGAACCACTTTGTCCGGAAAGCTGAAATGTATGTGAAAGCATCATTGGGTAGTGTAGATTTTAAATTTTCTAAATTTTGACGATCATTGACCCGTTGGGTAGGGTCAAAATATCTTATTTCAAGGGGGAAATCTGGTAATTTAATGAACAGCATTGGCAAAGCTACTAGGTGAGCGATGTGGCCCATGAGCCCCTTGTTTAATAAAATTTTCTTTCCACTTGGGATTTTAGCAACAGTAAATCAAAAGCATTTCGCCATAAATGTGTAGCATGCTGGAGTAGCTATCTGATTAGATACAATGAAATAATTATATACATTCCTGTCACACTGAGGATTAACAATGAACATAGGAGGGTTGATCCAAAATTAATGTCACAACCTTGATAAAATTGCTATTAATCGACGTTAAGCAAAAAAATTACACATGATGGAAGCCTTATTGATTTGAAATCAGACCTGAAAAATTCAAAGGAATATGATATATACTTTCCAAAATATCGGATTTAACGCGATGTGCATTTATGCTAGTCGCCGCACCCAAATATAACGTCATATGACGGATACGCACCATCATACTTTTAAGTACGGCTCCGTGTAAAAATCATACAGACAGTACAGAAAAGGTGATTCATCGACCATCTTCAAATTCAATAAAACTGGGTTTAATATATTCATTTGACCGGTCACGGTAGCCTAGTGGTAGAGCGTTCGCTTCGTGATCGGGAGGCCCGGGTTCAATTCTCGATCGCGGCGCCGCGTCATACCTAAGACGTAAACATAGGTAGTGACTGTTCCTTCGCCAAGCGCTCGGCACTAGAAGTGAAGGTCACGGGTCTTTCGGATATGACCTTAAAAACGTAGGTCCCGTGTCACGGTAGGCGTTGGCACGATAAAGAACCCTCACTGCTCAATGGCCCTGAGTCCCGAGTATAGGTCTAAATTTGAAGCCCTTCACCGGCATCGGTGACGTCTCCATATGAGTGAAAAATTCTCAAGAGGGACGTTAAACATTATACAATCAATCAATCAATATATTCATTTGGGTCTAAAATGAATATAAACAGTTGATTTTGTTATAATTCTTCTTTTTTCATATAGCCAGGGATAAAGTACTTGAGGTGTAATTTTGTATAGATAGTGTGCAAATAATGCCTATTTCAGAAAAGAATATCTTTAAAACCCTAGAAGATGTACAAAAACTTAATACATAATTCAAGTAAACATGGAAGGCTTAATAAAAATTTACTTTAATATTTTTGTGCAAACGAAGTATTGAAAAGATACAAGGTGTTTAAAATCGAGAATTTGTCAAGAGTCTTCACATGAGCTATCTCCCTTTGCAATTTTACATAGGTGGCGCTAGTAAAAAAAAAAATGGCAGCCTCCATGGTTAGCTGTACGCTGCAAAGTTATTTTGATTCATCCTGTGATGTTTATTGCAAAAATATGTGTGAAGTGACATAAATTAGTTGAAAGGATTCTACAAGAACAGATTAGGCATAGTTTTCGGGCAAAAGTATAGCCATGTGTCGTGTTGATTAGCATATTGACCTTGTTGACATTCTCCCGAAATGGTACTCGCCTACTAAAACCGTTGTGATCTATCTCAGAAGTTTAAATTCTACGGCAATCCACCAGAGTCCAAGAGTAAACTCTCAGAGAGGGGTGGCAGTCCGATTTTGTCAGCTTACTCGACTTGGAGAGGGAAGATAATGTACATTTGGACAGTTACATTTGACCAGGTAAGATCAGGTCCAGAACACTGCAGAACAATTTCTTGATTAGGATAATTAATTTTGTAGCTTGAAATAGCTATGTAGCTTTAATATGTTGACGGTGCGACCGTTAGGGCGAGCGCATATACTTATCCATTTTCATTTAGAATGGACATGTAAATCTGCACGTGACATTCGGTGCGTATTAAATTCTGACGTCATATGACGTCGTTTGTATGTGGCTTTACCAAACCGAAGCCTGAACAAGGCTGATTTCAATCAGTTTATGACTATCTTTCTGCAATAAACAGATAAATTCATTAAATCAAAACAAGTTTATTATTCGTTTAACTTTTGTTGTTATTCTCGCGAGAATGTTGCTTCAGTTTGTGTATGAAGCGATGCATTGTGGGTCTAAATTACTGCGGTAAAAAATTCTTTGGAATGAATGTGCAGTTGTCTGAATTTTCTCTTTGCCCAGGCGTTTTTATCAGAGCTCGCAGTTACCTGCATATGCAGTCAAGAGTATTTTACAAGTCCTATATGACAATGTATAATGAGTCTTTTACCCCATTCATACGACGAAAATTTGCTTATGTGTGCAAATTATGTGTGCAAATTTACATATGAGTAAATATACACACGTAAGTAAAAGTTAATTTGCTATGCGTTCAGACGAGATTTATGTACTGTAAGTAAAAACTTATATTTTCATGTTAAATAAGGAGATCCACAGATTCAGAATTGTGGATTTTTTTTTATATAAAAAAGGTTATTTTCTTATTTCTTACTATAAGGTTAACTTTTTAATGTTCCTTAAATAAAGAAGGGGGAAATCCGATCCATTTATTTTTTGGTACGGAAACGCGAACTTAATATTTTTTTAGGAAAAATGTACACACGGAAAAAAAGGAAAATTAATTAAAATCATTTTTTAAAATTTGTAAATGCTTTGGCCTCGGTCCTTAAACTATAGAAGAGCCGTTGGGTGGTAAGAAAATTTCTAAAGGTGGCTATTGCCATCTAATGAATGGCGTCTTCACCAGAATAAAGTACGACTGGAAATCTTTTTGGTGTTTGGAAATCTACAGTACATCGAGTTTGCGAGGCCATATTGAAGTTTCTGCTGGAATATTTTATGTATTTTCCTGGAAAATGAAATGGGCAATCGATTTAAAAAAAATTCAAACAAAACAAATATATGAATAGAAAAAACACGAATCCCCTAGAAATTCATGTTGGGATCAGGTGCCAAGAATCGAAAATGCTTAAAAATCTTATTTTCAACAGGGTTGTTGAAATTCCTGTAGCATCAATTTATATGTCAGTATCTTGCCTTGGTTAAAAAAAAAAGAAAAGAAAGAAGAAAGTCAATCTGTAATGGGACCCTGGCTATTGATGTAATTCACATTCCTATCACAACCCCGGAACATTCCCATGAAGAACATACTTGAATTGTAAGGGGACTACTTATTTATCCTGCAGGGTACGTGTTTGCGCGACCACAGCTAATTTTTTTTATAATTTAGAGGCGCTGCATTTCATTTCCGGAAATATGCATTGCATTTCCGACATTTTTTTAATTTCATTTCCGACATTTTTTGTTTTCATTTTTTGCAAATTCAAATTTATATCAGAGGACACTGGAGATATAGTGTGGATCCTTGTTTTCAGAGTTGAAAAAGCCATTTGTGGAAAGAACTATGCTAGAACAACCCGGCGCATTCTTTAAAGACTTTAAAGCAGTACTCTGTCAAAACCCAAATTACTTTCAGCTGTCTTTGAAGTACAGCAAAGATGATAATAAAAATCCAGTTTTTTTTTTAAGTTTTGCTTTCTAGCCGCCATGTTAACAGACTGATATTATACACCCAACAATGCATAAACAACCGATACAAACACTTAAAATTGTGATTTATGCAATAAACAAAACAAAATACATACATAAGTAAATTTGCTGCGTGTTCATACGACAAAATTTACACACAAAAACTAATAATTTGCCACAACATGTATGCAAAAGTTAATTTGCACCTAGTCCTGACTAGGTGTAAATTTACTCAACTGTGCAGAATTTACATGTGAACAAATCAGTTCATACGACAAAAATTGCACACGTGAGTAAATTTACATATGAGTAAAATATACTGAGGTATGCAAATCATGTCGTATGAATGGGGTGTTTAATAAAAAGGAAAAATCATAGATATATGTACTTCTAGTATTGCAGCTGTTGAATAATTTTAATTAAACAAAAGACGAATTTCCATTTTCTTAAGAGCTCGGGAACACTACCGTTAATGGAAGGTAATTTTCAGCACAATGTTTTTGTCTCTACTCTTGCATTCTTCAATTAATTTAATGAGTCCCCAAGCATGACAGTCTACTATTTGTTAATACAAATCAGAAGCGACACACGGTTTTCGTCGATTTACTGCATACTTTATTTACTTCATCACCAAAAACAATAGTTTCTTTTTTACTTTATACAGCCAAAATTGAAAGATTAGTTTCCAAAAACACTGCTCGATGCTCAAATTAAAAATTGTACTTTTAGATGATAGATACAGTGAACCTTCAGATATCTTGATGCAAGATGTCCGAATGCTTCAGTATTCGGCCGATTTTTCATCGAAACGAAACTTTTTAACGTTATTTTGTCTTATTTAAGTGGTAATTCAGGTATCCGGACACTTCACGTATCTGGAAATTTGACTAGCAACCAAAGTGTCCGGATAAATGAGGTACCACTGTAGTTGCTTCCAATACGTACCGTACAAACCTTGTGACGTTTGCATGTCTGACTTTTGATATTTGATTGAGGGGTTAAATGATAATGGTGCACCTTGTGCTGCTGTCTAAAACTATGTAAAGAAAACTGATAGCCAATTTGCATACAAATTGAAGCTGATGTGTCATCAGATAATCTTGTCGTCTAGACCTGTTTAAGTTACTGTATTACTGTGCACTCCCCTATGTGTGATGAGGCATGAATAAGTTTTGATGGTATGGTTAAGGCATTGTTTGAAATAACTGTTGCTGAACCGCCTGAGATGCACAAATTTTGTCACAGGCAAACAGATTTGTAACAGATTACAGATTTCACACCCAACTGAAAATGAAAAACTTTTCAAAAACTTGACCTTGGTTATGACTTTTGAATGAAAAATAAAGGGCTTTTCTCATTGGGACTCAAAACCAAGGCGCACATGGATCTTAAAAAATAGATAGAAAACTTGGAATGGTTTAAAACAATCTTTTAAAATCTTTTCATAAACAGTATAGTGATGATATGGAAGCATTCTCTGGTGATGTAGTGTATAAATAAATTGATTAAGTTAAACCACCCTTTGGGTAGGATGGAGTCATAATGGGGATCAAAGTTTCACATTGCAATATATAGGGAAGAATTTTCCCTAGAACAGCAAAGCCTTGATTAATATTGTACTGATATGGAAGTCATTGGAAGAAGCCTCAAGTAGTGTAGATTCTGTTTAAATTGTACTAAAGTCAAAACTGGAGACATATTGCAAATGATGAAAAATACACTAGTAGAAAAGATATTTCACATACAGCAAAACTCGTTTACTACGAACACGGATATAGCGAATTCACGGATATAGCGAAGTTATTTTAGATCCCCAGCTAAATTTAACAAATTCCTTATATAGATATGATGAGTAATTGATGTAGCAGAGTAATTTCATTGGTCCCGGTGACTTTGTTATAACTTTGTTTTACTGTATTTCATAAATTAGTATTATTGTTTTTTAGATGAATTAAACCCCATTTTATTTTCACAGAATGTATGCGATGGGCTGCATCATGGTTTTGAAGGAAAAGGTTATACTATTTATTACAGACAGCAAGAAAACATCATTGAACACCACCAACTAATAAGACTCCAAAGGAGGGAGAATATATGTCTTGCAACCGTTTATAGATTTTTAATGAAATTACTGCATTATATAAACTTGATATTCCATGTAAGGTAATTAATAAAATCAAAATAACCACTTAGTACCTTAATAATAATGTAGCATAAACTAAAGAATTCTAAATTGATGAATGATAAGTAAATGTGCATGTATATTGTAATTAATATTTTAGGAAAATGGAAAATAAGAATTTAAAGCTGTCAAAAAGCAGAGATTAGAGTTCAGTGGATTCCATGACGGTACTTTGGATAATGTTAATCAGGCAGCAATTCTCTTCCAAAGGATCTTAAGTGCTTTTAGAAGAGGCTAATAAACAAAGGACAGTCACTTACTACAGAAGAGAAGCAGGGGAGATTAGTGATATTCTGAGTGGCATGACTGCACCTTACAAAGATGTAAAACATTAGAAATTGTGTTTACATATACAATGATTATATGATAAATGTATCTAGTAATCAATATTAATATGATTAATATTTTCAAATATTTTTTTTTTTTTTACATTTTACTGATCATTAATGAAAAAAATAATTTGTGTTGTATTTGAATTTGGAAATGTAAAGGAATTTATTTTAAAATTTAAACTGATATTCTTACATGTAAACATGTACTGGCGTGTGTACATGGTGTATATATTGGACTCTGACAAAAGATGATGCTACTTCTTTTTTTGGTGAAATTATTAATCACAATGATTTTTGTGCACATGATTTTTTTTAATTTTCCATAGGGTATGGTATCTATGAAACCTACTCAGCCTTTTTGTTTGGCTATTTTTTAAATCATAGATATATTTTATTTTCTTGATAACTGAAATCCTCAAAAAATGATATTTTGTTGTTTTTGTCAACATGAATTATCTCCCCCTTTCAGCTTGAAATTAGAAATAATACTGTAGATATAGATATAATTTGATTAATGAAAATGAATTATTGTGTTGTATTTGGAACTATAAAGAAATTGTTTTGAAATGCTATTTATAATTTAATATGCATATTAAATATATACATGACATTTATTTTACCGTGACGAAAAAGTGAATTTTCCATTTTTTGTACAAAACTCTTCAATGGCTTTTGGAAATTAATAATCAATTGCACAAAAATGTTTTTAATTTTTATTTGCCATAAGGTATGGTGTCTAGGAAATAAACCCTGCCTCTCTGTTTGGCTGTAGTGTATTTTTTCTTTAAATTTTTTATCATATAGCTGAATTTAGCTGTAAATCCTTTTAAAATTGAAAATTTCAGTTTTTCTCGACATGGATTATTTCCCCTTTTCAGCTTAAAATTAAAAACTATTACTGGACGTGTAAATATTTGGATTAATTATGAAAAGTAAATAATTTAATTGCATGTATTTGAAAATGGAAATATAAAAAAAATGGTTTTGAAATGCTATTTATTTTTTACATGCAAACATATATGGCATATATTGGACTGTGACAAAAAAAGAGAAAATACCATTTTTGTACAAAATTCATCAGTTGTTTTGGGAAGTTAATAATCATTTGCACAAAAATGTTTTAATAATTTTATTGACTTTAGACTATAGTCTCTTTGAAACTAGCGTGGCTTTTTAGTTTGACTGTGGGGTTTTTAGAATTTTTTGATAGATAAAAATCCTAAAAAATGGATATTTTACATTTTTTGCCAATATGGATTATCTCCCCTTATTACCTTAAAATTAGAACACATTACTGGTCATCAAAATATTTTGACTAGATATGGATAGTAACTACTTATGCTGTATTTTAATAAGAAATAAACATAAAAGTGTTTTATTGTTTAGTTTTCTTTTCATTTAATCTTCATTATTGGTATTTTTGCCTATTTTTAGAGGAAGTTTCAGCCATTTTTTTGCCCAAAACAGTTTATCGGTTGCCATGGATAGAAAATGGCAGAAATTTAAAAAAATTATAATTTTTTTGGAGCATCTTAGCATACTCTACCAACATGCAAAGTTTGAAGAAATTCTGAAATCCCCCATGAATCACCCTCTGCATGATTTTTACACGGAGCCGTACTTAAGTGTTTCCCCTTCGTTTAATTAAAAATATTTGTGATTCGCATGACGGATACACACCGTCATACGAGTACTTTTAAGTGTTTCCCCTTCGTTTAATTAAAAATATTTGTGATTTGGAAACATTCTCACCGATTCCACTTTCTTTTAAGAATTTTTGGTAACATTATACACTCACTCTTTTCATAATTAAGCCCTCTGTCATTTTTTTTAACAGTAGCATAAGACAAATTTAAATATTCACATGTCACTATGTCTGTCTTTTTTGACAACATCAGACACCATTGAACGTTCCATCCGATCTCCTATCTTTCGGTCTTCTTGTCCTCTGCTGATCATTCAGTGACCAATCACCTGCCCAAAATTGCTGAAACCATCTAGTAAGATGTATCTTATTAACATTCTTTATTCTGTAAGTCTGATTAATTAACGTAACTGTCGCTTGTGATGATTTTCATATTTTGAAGTAAAAATGCATTACAACTCGTCGAGCTGTTTTTTCCCGTTTCGAGAATCTTTTTTTTCAATTCAACAGAGTAGAACAACACTGTTTATGATCACAAATACCAATGACATCATTTAAGGTTAGGGTCAATTTTCAATTATAGACTAGAAAATGACGAGAATTGTGTCTTTTTTAAAAAATTGGAGATTAGGTGCTTTTTAGTCACCTGAGTAAACTTAGGTGACCTATTATGCTATCCGTTTTCGTCGTGCATTAACATTTGAACATTTTTAGCTTCTTCTCTCTGACTGCTGAACCAATTTCAACCAATTTTGGCATATAGCATCATGGGGTGAAGGGGAACAAAAATTGTGAACATCATGGTCCCTGCCCCCTAGGGTCTAGGGGTGGAGCCGAAACCACTAAAATTAGTGCAATCTTTAAAAATCTTGTTCTTTACTCCAGGACATCAAGCAGTCAAACTGTTGGAATGATTGTCATCAGCATGAGTCCTCTACCAAAATTGTGAAATTCATGGCCCCAGAGTCAGGGGTTCTAGTGCTAAGGCGGGGCTATATTAATTATATATTGAAAATGCATTAAATCTTTGAAAATCTTCTTCTCTGCTCCTAGAAACTAAATAAACTAACTAAGTATATAGTTATGATGAGCAAGAGTGCCTCTGCCAAAATTGTGAATTAATTCTTTGAAAATCTGCTTCTCTGCCCCTGATACCAGGTATTGTGTCTCAGATTGTACCCGAGATCATGCTTGTCGTCAAGTTTTGCAAGAATATACCAGGTTATATATAAGTATTATATGTGACTGCAGGGTGTATTGTATGTATAGTAAAACTCAGTTTAATATAAAATAACTCAGTAAAACTCAGTTTAATATAAAAAAAAGTTACTCGGACTTATGAAATTACTATACTATATCCGTAATTCGTTATATCTGTAAAATGAATTCATACCTATGGGTATTTAGGAGGCTAAGTAACTAAACTAAGCAATTGCTAAGTTCATAGTTATGATTTGCAATGGTGCCAGCCTCTTTCAAAATTGTGAATGCTGTAGCATCTATCTTAAAACATGAACCAAATTCTATCATTAGAAAGTTGTTGCATGATTCTCAGGTAACCTATAAGACTCATAGGCCTCTTGTTTAAGAATCTTTGTGGCGTCGGTAGTCTAGTGGTTAAGGTGCCGGACTCCAAACCGAAAGGTTGTGAGTTCGAATCCTGGCCGCGACAAGCCAATGTTGTGTCTTTGGGAAAGAAACTTTACACGAATTTCCTCACTCCACCCAAGTGTAAAAGGGGTACCTGGCTATAGACAGTGAAAGATATTGTCAGAATGTTAGTGTCCTTGCGCTGATAACGGCAGCTTGCACTGAGAAAGATTCTGGGTTGTTAAGGTCTGCTGGGGTAATAATGTATTGTAAAGCGCTTTGAGTAGTATTTATGCTAGAAAAGCGCTATATAAAAAACAATCATTATTATTGTTATTATTATCTTTTTACCGGTAATGTGTTTGTCTTTTTCATTTTAAGAAAAATACACTTTTAAACGTGACGTTCCGTTGTGACGCGGTGACACCCCCTGTACGCTATATTTTAAACTTCTATAAAATAAAGGCAAATAATCATTATTAAATTAAAATTTCAATGATAATTAGATGATATCTGTGCATCTTCTGGTATATTGCATTTGATAATATGACGCCAAATATAAAAGATATGGACATTGTGACATTACTTTTGGATCAACCCTCGTACATTTACGATGTCAAAAACGGACTTGTCTTTAAGATAACTAAATTAGCATCGAAAAACATATGACAGTTTTTAAAAAGGCAAGACTTTGGAAAAACAAAAAAAAAGTAAATATGTAGTACTGTACCAGAAAAACTACCTTTCATCTGCTTAACATCTAAAATGAAAATATACAACGATGAATACCAAATCTACAGTTTTGTCTGTAATCTTTTATTATGTACCAATTGTACTGCTGAAATAACTGTATTTCCAGATTTTACAAACATTACCACATAATAGAGAAACACCGGCATCTTACGAACGAACGTAACCAAAATCGGGGATCAGTCATTGTAGTCTATTGTATTCACGGTTGGATTACTGATTTCTTCAATTTTATTGGGATTTCAATAGAAAAAATCCCCATAAGATACCTCAAATCCATTTCTTGTCGTAGTCGCTACCGTGACGCTACAATACATTTAAATGGACATTTAAACGAGCAAAGGGGTTCGAGAAGGGAAATAAAAGGAAAATTTAAAAAAAGTCATTCTGTGGCATGAAATAAAAAATAATAGTATGTGCGGATCTAGAAGGGGTCCAGGGGGAGGGGGTACTTTACGAAGGGGGGTCGGGACAATTAGGAGTTATGATCTAATACTAAATTGCAAAAACCCAAAAACTTTTTTAAAAAAGTTATGTTCAAAATACTATATGCTGCGAAAAATAAAATTAATATGGCTTTAATACACAGGTATTATACCCATACCGGGTATCATAAATCCAGGGGGTTGTCCGTTCAAAATTTGTCCGTTGATAAAGCTTCTTCTATCAAACATATATCTTAAAAATCTGCATATAATTCTCACGGGTGTCAGTGGACTGGACACGCCCCCCCCCCCCCGACCCAAATTTTTTTTTAAATTTCACTGTAAAAGCTTTAAGGCTTCTCGAGATATCGCTCGAAACAAAAGGGTAACAGACGGATAGATTTATAAGACGAACGGGCAGACCGAATATAATATCCCCAACTTTCGGGGGGGATGGGGGGGTGTCGGCACAAAAAATTTACATTTACAATTTACAACATACATAATTGATTCCTGCAGTTAAAAAGTCAGAGGTGATTAAAAAATAAAAAGTGAATTCTATGTACTTTTAGGATTTTTCATATGAAATACATTGTAAATATGTACTAGACGGTTAATTTATAAAAGAAGAGAAAATAATTAATATGAATATCTTGGGACCCATCTTCGCTAGCCAAGGGTTTCTGATACGCTACTCTCCTCATAAACCCTTGGCCTACGGTGTTCATAGAAATAGGGATTTTTTTCCAGAGTTCTGATTGGATTTCAGTACACCCAGGTCGACCAACCAGCAATTGTTTTTTGTAAATGACGATATTTGCGTTCGGGATACATCTTCACTCTTTAATCTCGGAAATGAAAAACGCAAATAAACAACGATCCGTAAGATAAAACTCAATTCTATGAATAGCCATGGTGTCATCCAATATCTTCTAAATATGTGATTAAGAATCTATATTGAAGCTTCAGATTTGTTCTATAAATAATGAATAAACATAACTCAATTATTGCTTCTTAATTATTCTTGAAAAAACTTTGAGTTTAATTTTTTTTAACACGTGTCTTTATTTCTGGCGATGACGCAATCTGTGCGTACCTGATAGATTTGAGATCACGTGACGGAAAACAATCCCGTCTTTTTACTTCACCGTATGCCAAGGGTTTATGAGGAGAGTAGCGTATCAGAAACCCTTGGCAAGCGAAGATGCTTGGGACCTGGTATGTATATTTGGGGTGGGGGTTGGGAAGTTGTTTGGTCTACAAGCACTTGTGATGAGCATATGTGTGCACATACTTTTGAAGGATGCAATGACAACTAAGTGACAACTACGTTTTCATATTATTCACAATCTTTTTTTTTGTTTACAACAGGATGGTGAATATATATTTTTCCTTACAAATAAGGCAAGTTATAATTTCGTTTATTTTTTGCAAATAATGCATGGTTAACAAACAGTGACTTAGTGGAGCATAACTTTAAGACAAAGGAAAGAACTTTACTAAAAAAATGCACCATCCTACATAAATGCATATCTTCAGCCTTTTTCATTATCCACACATATAAACAGATATACATGTACACACGGTCGTATATAGGAACGGGGTGGAGGGGTTTAAGCATTAGCCCCCCCCCTACAATGAAGTCGATGAATAAACAATGTAATACCGGTATTATAAAAAACTAAGCCCCTTCAATAAAAAAATCTTTCATTTTGGCTTCCCAAGGAATTGTTTGGTAGTGACTCTAAACTTTTGGTTGCCCCCTTCCCCCCTCCCCCCCCCCCAACTGAAAATGATTGCGTCAGGCCTGTAACTTATATAAAAAATAAAAGAAGCCCAAAATAATTAAGATCTTAGATTTAAGATCGCCATTTAATACATCATCTAAGAAGAATTTGTCTACCACGAATGCTCGTTTATTTCTTTGAAGAGATATTTAAATTAATTTAAAAAAGAATCTCTCTCTCTCTCTCTCTCTCTCCCCCCTCTCTCTCTCTGTCTCGGATCAAAACAAGACACTATAAACTGCACAACCTATTTACTTCATTGCACGGATTTATTTTTTTTTTATCAAACTGTAAAAAGTTACCTTTCCCCATATGTACAAGGCGCACACTGCGGGTAGTTTTTATACGTTTAATCACTGACGCATGACAAACGTGGTTCCTACTCCGTCTCAGGTATTATGGTGTATTTTCTTCAATTTGTTCGCTTTTTAAAAACATTGAAAGTGATTACAAAAGATTTGACATGAGCAATTTTCAATTACAAAGTGGTTAAACCATTATCCGTTTTATTTTACACATATACTTATTTCTTTCGATTTTAAACTTTAAATTGGTACAATCACTGGTCTCCAGAAAACTATCGAGATACGGGAAGTTAGGGAGAGATACGTTCGTTCGTAAGATGTCGGTGTTTCACTACTAAAATATAAAATATTATAATCATAGCACACGATTATGTATAAAAATATCTTCATGCTTACTTTGTTTCCTTCTTCAGGAAATAGAGAAGTATTTTGGGGGGTTTTGGAAAGCTGTACCAGATGAGGACAGAGATTGGTTAAGTGAGTCTCTGAATGATCGGGAATATGCAGTAGGTCTGAAGACACTTAATGATAATACCAAGGAAATACTAGAGTCAATGAAAAAGTCCATAGTGGAACTATTCACAGATGAGAACTATACAAAAGTTGAATTGCCTTCTTCGTGGGCTTTAATGGAGCAGTTATTGTATGAAGGAGCATGGAAGG